TTAATAGTTACCACTGACATATTAATTAGTATACAGATATATATGATATGCATACTACTGTGCATAAGTCACTTTATTTATTATCAAACACAGTTCAAGAGAAGTTAACTTAAGCAATAATTTTACAAGTAAATAAAACCAGATTGTTTCACAAGATGGAATTTCTCGAGAATTGCGAGAACTTTTTTGTTTTCGAGAGAATACTCTTGATCAATGAAATGATTATTACTTATGTTAATATAACAAGATTACAGAGTGGATACATTATTGTGCATCATGATACGCAGGATGTGCATACATTATTAAGAATAATTAATTGTTGATTGATTTACTATTTCAGGTGTTTATATTTATGACAATTCTGGACACTGACGTTTGTGTCCATAAAATTTTAATAAAAAAATATATGGTGGCGAAAATAATTGAATTCATTTATATTTATTCAATCGTGAATGTAATCCTATAATAGTTGCATAAAAAAAGTAACAAAATATGGTCAGAGGGATCATCTGTTGTTAATTAAAGAGAACGCACACAATATTAATTAGTTGTTTAATATTCTTTATTTTTAAAGCAGTACACTGTTCCCCTCTGTCCAAGCCAAAAGCATTTAAAACTCTTCGGAAGAAACATATTCAATTGAATTATGTATTAAAAGAATACGCTTATAATATTTTACCCATATACATATTTTTATGCAACCTTTAATACACTAAAATGTTTGACCACATTTCTCAGAATAACAAGTGTTAGGAAATGTTTCATTTCAAGATATTTCTTTAATTACACCGGCCAACAAAAAAAAGTTATGTGAACTTTACATGCGGCATATGATTTCCTGTGTATTTTTGTCCTCTGAGCACGAAGGAAGTCTGTTTTGCTCCATCACCCTTCAGTTTTCCGTAAATCGTTGAATACCTTCAGAAAATCGCTAAAAATCTTCAGTAAAATGGAGAAATTTAGGAAGTGACGAGATCTTGACATGCGACACATGTTTTTCAACGTAATTTTCATTCCTGAATCCGATTCCGATGTCAGAATTACTCCATAACCGTCTATAGTCTTCAAAAAATCGCTGAAGATCTTCAGAAAAAGGTAAATTTTGAGAAGTGACGAGATCTTGACATGCGGCATATGTTTTCGGACGTATTGTTACCTTCTGAATCCGAATTCAATGTCAGATTTGCTCCATCACCGTCTAGTCTTCAAAAAATCGAAGAAGATTTAAAAAATGGAAAATTTGTAGAAGTAATGAGATGTTCATATGACTCATTGTTTTCGATGACCAGCGATTTACGGAAAACTGAAGGGTGATGGAGCAAAACAGACTATGGATTCGTGCTCAGGAGACAAAAATAAACAGGAAATCATATGCCGCATGTAAAGTTCACATAACTTTTTTTTTTTGTTATTAATGTATTATTTTATTTATTTATTTCTTGTATATTGGTATTTATAAGTATATTTTTGCTATTTATAAGGCATAAACTCTGGGTCGAATAATAACATTACTTGTTTTTTAAAGTAATATTGTATATAACACACACGTTAAATGGATATTTCGTTTCACAAACTACTTGCTGCAATTACAATGTACAGGGTGTTCGGAAAGGTCATGTCAAAAATGAAGGGGTGTACAGGGGAGCACAAAATAGTTGTAGTACTTCATATTTCTTTTCCTATCGGGCTTCGTTATTCGCCTTCAAAGAAAGAAGTTTAAAAAAAATTTCAATTAACTTCTAAGTCGTTACCATGACAACAATGCAATTTGGGCAATTAAAGAAACTCATGATAATGTTCATTACCAAGTTTAAACTGATATTTCAATATGCCTGGATTATACAGGTGCGGACGAAATTATCCGTTTAAATTTATACATCTTTGACAGCGTTGCCAAATTTGACATTTTTTCATAGTTCGATTCCTCTCTCTTGTTAAAAAAAAGGTATACTTTATATAAGTCGATATCTTGTACCTTTTTTGAGAAAATCGGATTTCATTAACAACAATCTTCTCAAATTAACTCACACAATGTTCTTCCATGCCAGAAATCTTATGTAAAAGAAATCTAACACCACACACAATACTCCGAAATGCTGCTATTTTGTGGAACACATGCCTCAACTAACATAAATAATTGCCTAAATTAAACAATAAAAATGATATACATAATTAACACATACATGATATACTAAAATTGTTATATATTGCTACCATTCTATTGTCATCATTGACAAAAACTAATTACGTAAAAAGTAGCTAATAGATTCTTTCATTTTGATTCTACATTTTACTTAGGACTGTTTCATCAGGTAGTAATACCAGCAGTTAGGGGTCTTCTCTGTGGAGTCAAATCTTTTTTGTTTACCCAGATTTCTAGCGTCGAAGAACATTGTTGGCTAAAATAATATACCGATGTTAAACTTCTGTTCTCGTGTCATGTTATCGCTTAGTTCTTAGAACCAGAAAGTTGGAATATATCGAGTTTAAATCGTTTCCTATTAAAGTCATACTTTGAATGCCTTCCGCCAATAATTCGGTCACTTCTAGACACGATGTGAAATATGAGTACGCCACAAATATTTCCTCAAATATAAATACAAGCTCTAACAAGTATTTGGCAAGTGAAGTGGCTTTTGAGTGTATCAATAAGTATGCAGCATCTTCAGGATGTGGTATTTGAATACGTTTGACAAATATGTGACAAGTGACGTCTCAAGTCGGCTTAAGATTCTAGAAGATTACTATACTTGATACAAATTACTTGCGTGATGACTAGTAATTGAAACAACTCCTTTTATTTATGTGATAACTGAAAATATAAACATTTCTCAATCAGTGTGCACGTAACCATTCCTGAAGAAAGTGAAAGTATAGTTTATTTGCCAATTTAAAACCGCATTGACGGAAATGTACCTACCGAAAAGAAGTGTGATACATCGTTTACAAATTTCCCTTTTTATAACATATGTTATTGCATAATATATTCATAAGTACGTTTTGTATGCATTAGTGCTACGTTATCCTGTTACAACTGCAAATAATTTTGATTTGAAGAATGATACTATAACATAGCCTAAGCTTAAAAAATATCACCTTTTGATAAATGATTCTATAGATACTGATAGATTATTATGAAATAATTGTAATATTCCGTCGACTTACCTGTAAGGAAGATCAATCTCAATTATTTGAGCATCGCAGTTCTTCTATGATTCATATTACCACTTATACATGACGCGCGCACAGATTTAAAGAAAAAAAGTGTTTCGTAACAGTTCGTTACTACTTATTGATAGCCATCCAGTTCAATTTGTGACCGAACCATTCACGCTGTGGGTAAAAAAAGTAGGGGGAGTACCCCATCAGAGAAGAACTACGATGCTCAAATATTTGACATTGATCTTCCTTAAATGTAAGTCGATCGAATCTTACTTACAGTTATTTTTCGCTTCTCCGTTCTTCTGTGATTCATGTTGGCAGATGTTCAGACTAAACAATTACCGCGATTATGTGCAGTCAAAAGAGTTTCTAAATTATGCGCTATTTTATAGTTTTATGATAAAAAATTTCTTAAGGGCGCCATATTCTTTAAATAGTGTTCTCCACAAAGACAAATAATTTCAAACATTTAATAACTGAATAATCTAAAGCTTATCAAATAATAGAAATGTTATGTCATGCCATCTGGGTATTTTCAAAGACGCCCGCAGTGAAACGAATAAACAGGTGCAAAAACCGATCAAACCATCAAGGTTTTAGGTACTGAAATCTACGAAAATACTAACTTTCTTATATACAACTCCACATGTAAATATTCTTATAACATTTACTTGCTTAATCCTACATATAAAATTGTTTACTTTTATTTATAAATACGTGAATATAATTCTTAAAATGTGGGGTTAGAATAACAGCAAACGCATGTTTTACAAACGCTTTTTTTTAGTTATTATTTTATTTGAGTAAATTTAAATAGTAATAATGAATAAACAGAACATAAAGGAGTTATTTTTGTGCATACTTTTATTCTACACGTTTTACTTTTTAAGATTTCAGTACCTAAAAATGCCAGAAATTTGAATTTCTCGGCCACCACCATTTCTATGGCCACCTTAAAGTAAATTATTTATATTTTATCAAATTATGACGATCAAATGGATTAGTGACTTCTTCTGCTTACTGTTTCTATATTTGATCTAAATTAGTTTTTTAAAACATATGTAGGTACATTCTTTTTATTCTTTTCCTATTTTGAAATAATTAAGAAATATTGAATTGTTGGAATAACATCATTGACATTATAGATATCTAATAACATTTTGATATATTATATCTCTTGAATAATTAGCGAATACAATTATATTCCCAAAGTTTGGATATAAAGAGAATTCCACTTGAATCAAAATGCATAGACTTTGTATATACTTAGATACAAGTAATTTGTGTCAAACTGTATACAAAAGCTTATAGAGCTCATCATAGTTGAATCCGAATTTATATACTTACGATTAAATTGTAGAAAAGCGTAAAAATTTCGTGTCGACACCTACACCAGTTGTGAAAGAAATTAGAATATTTTTGGAAAAACTTTCACTCCCTTTTTACATCATTAAGTATGACAGTGATCAATTGATCATATTGAGATATTAAAATTAAAATATAAATTATGATATAATGTAGTTTGCAATGTAATTACCTTAAGTATTAACAGCATATTTTTTTAACTTTTATGTTAACATTTTATTGGCATAATTTTCTCTTCTTCATAATTCCAAAGCAATATATGACATTTTTAACACAATCACTTTTACTTTGTTACCTAACATTCTTTCTCTAGTTTGCTTCACGGTTAATATATCGTTAACTGTGAATAATGTCTTAATATGGGCATAATTAAATAATTCATTCTTTAAATAGTAAGGACTTTGAGGAACACTAAATATTTAAAAAATACTTTCTTTAGTAAAAAGCTAATAAAATTGTATATTATAGGGAATTTTATTAGAAATCATGACCATCAAATATTACATGGCACAAAAAGGGCATCGATTTAGAGTTTCATTCGTAAAGGAAATTCCCAATTAATTTAAATATCCACTTGAAGTTACCAAATTTATGGCAAGTACAATTGTTCATATAACATTCAACATTTACAAATGTACCTATTTGAGCACTATATAGTTCTTTAGATTAATATAATTTACGTATAAACGAAGATATAAAAATAATTTAAAAATATATATTTATAGTACAAATAATTACCTATTTACAATAAAAAAAAATCACACAATCATAAAAAATAACAACTAACAAATAACAGTATTACGAAACAGGCGCCAAAACTTCTGGGTTTTTCCTGGCTTGAGTGAAAGGACTCGTGATGAGTCTTGCTACGTTTTGCAGTACCATGATGGGTATCTAGAACAAGAAAAGACAATAAGTTAAAGCCAAACGCAGAACATTGTATAAGACCGTTACCTAATTAGAGAAAAACTGATCATAGTATACAACTTATAGATTTATATTCAAACACTGGCAACAAAGTATGACGTCAGAAGTACAAAAAAAGTAAATATAAAGAAATAGTTAATATTTAGAGTACAATGATTTTTCGATTACTATGTCGACGCTTATGTATATAGTTGTCGCCAGTTATAGACTTATATTGCATTTCTTTGATCTTAGCTAGAAATCTTTGACCTGTCCTTCTTCTTCTCGGTCTGGGCTATGTGGGATGAACCCGCTAATCTGAACCCCTAAGACCGCCGTGATGTCATTTTGGTACTTTTTGGGTGTAATGTTACTACTCCTCAGACTTGTTCCTCTTTAACTGATCGTATCCATGTTTCGGAGCGACTAAGGACTTAGTAGCGACGAAACTTTGGTAAAGAAGATGCAAACGTTGAAGAACGATGAAACGTTTGAAAGCACTATGGAACATCTCTGTCCTTGGTAGATTTGCTACTAACAATAAGAACTGAAATGAACCTCAAGAGGTTCTAATAATGGGTGCGCCTCCACAGAGCCTAGACCAAGAAGAACAAAGGTAGGTCAAAGATTCTTAGCTTAGGCCAAGGAAGAGCAATGTCTCTAACTGGCGGCGAAATGTCATCGTAATTTTTATGTTAGCAATAATTAAACATTAGTAAAACAATACCCTTACTTTGTTGTTGAAAAAAACATATTATGAATGAACATATGAGTCACCGCATATTAAATGCAGTTTTTATTATTATATATTGTTCCGAAAATTTAGGACTTCTGTAGAACATAATGATAAGAGCAATAAACAAGATTTTTGAATTCGATTATTCAAAACAAAAAATAATTTTTGAATTTTCTTTCGCTGTGCGTATGTCTTCCTTAAAAAATATTAATGTACAATCAGAATAAATTCAATTTTCCAAAATAATAAATAATCAGAACAAATACTCATTAATTGATTTTTTAAAATCAATCAATTTTACATACTGAATTAATCTCGAATCGTAGTTATATGAGGGGTAATTCTTCTAAGTCTTGTTTAAAAAACAAGCGCAATATTTTTTAAAAAATACGCCTTGTCTTTGAACTTAAAAATAATCTAATCCAATTTTAAAATTAGCAACTTTGATGAATAAATTGATTTTGCTTCGCTTTTTGATCCGCCCTTTGAAACCCACGGTTATGATACACTGGGTGTTAAAGTTATAAACATTATTTAAATAATAAATTATACATTGTATATGTCATCTTTCATTGCTAAATTGTACCAATTGTAAAAGCTATGGAGGAACTCAAAAACAAATCTTTATATATAAAAATATTCTTAAATTGGACGAGCAAAACTGCCCTTCATTTTTCATACGTTGTTATGTTACACCCTGTATAAAAGTAGTATCAGACTGATTTAAATATTATTGCCACAGCTCAATTCACAATAAAAATAGAAGTAACACAAAGAAATAATTACAGAATATAGATGACGATTCCTTGTTGGAGCGTGATTATTTGAAACCATGGCAGAAATACTTTTTGCGCTATTAGTTGCATTATTAACCTCGGCTATTTCCTAAATACTCTTGGCAATCGATGCAATCTAAAGTTAATTAATAAATGTCCATGACCATATCCGTCTAGTTGCTATCAGTTAAAAATGAACATTAAAAATTATTATTTTTAAATTTAGTTCATGTTTATCTTGGTTAATTTAGAAAAATAATGATTAGTTTTTCGTGTGCCGGTGGAAATCTGTTGGTTGATCTATATATAATGAGTGTCCATTGTCAGGAAACAATGTTGTATTCACTGAACTTAATATTCCATGAAAAAGTACTTCCGATTTTTTATTGTAACTAGCAAACCGAGTGGAAGTTATTTGTAGACAAATTTTAATACGATTTTTTACGGTAACGCAGTCGCAGATAAAACTGGCACAATTGAAACAAATTCTGGTATTTCTTGCAGAATAATGAAAAACGAGTTTGTTGACTATTATTGCTTGATCAAGATGACAAATATTGCTTATGAAGTGAAACAAAATTGCATTTTTTGTTTTCTTTGCAATTTAATTTAATTTTGTCATAATTTTTGGGCATTCACTATTTTAATTTTAATAAAAAGTTGAGCCACTCTAATAGGCATTTTCAAAACTCATTTTCAGCAACTGTTCTAGAATTATTAAGCATTACTTCATCATCAAATTGTTACTATATCCGTAGAGAAATATTATGTGTAATTAAAATTCTTGCACATATTTACGCCTTGAGTGTGGGTGAGGTATAGCCTATAAACACTACAACCTATGTCCCGTCTTAAATTGTCAATGGGCTGGAGGTCTGTAGCCCGCAAAGTAGTTGTTTCTCACAATACCATTAGATGAAGTTATTAGGGCTTTTTAAACTGATATATTTTAATCTATGAATTTCGTGTCTTTTTTATTTGTTTATGACCTTTTTTTTAAATATGAAAAATATTATCTTTAATCTGAGATTAATCTTTTAACTAAAAAAAGTTTTTATATATTCCACAATCATAATAGTATCATAACCAAAAGTTTTGAGATAGAAATGTGTTTTAAATGAAACATATTTTACTATTTTCAGTTTTTGAAGCAAATTTTGATTTTCTTTTATATGTACCAGATTTTTTTACTCTACCTAGATACTTAATAATTAGTTCAACAGTTTACTAGCTGGTTTCCAAATCGTGCTTTAGATATGACCCTCTATTTTTCAGAAGAAACTGCTCTAGAATTCTCTGAACAACATTTTGCAACACCCTGTATATGTCGGGCGCAGGATTTGACTTTATCTTAGCCAGTGTCAGGGTTTCTTCTGAAAAATAGAGGGTCATATCTAAAGTGACGATTTGGCAACCAACTAATAAACTGTTCAACTAATTATTAAGTTTCTAGGTAGAGTAACGAAATCTGGTACATATAAAAAAATCAAAATTTGCAAGACCCTGTATATTTGCAGTGGACTATTCTCATAACATTATATTCCCTTATCATTTTTACCCTTCCATCTAACAAAATGCTAGAGACCCAAATTTTCTTGCGATTTCAAAAATATATACCAAATTTTTGTTTGTTTTTTAATGGAATATCCAATGTTTGTTGCTTTTTGGACTACTCTCCTTTTTCTAATTACTAATAAACTATAATTAAAATAATAAAGTAAGTAATAAAGTAAAGTTTATTCTGAAAGTAAGTAATAAACTAATCTATAAAGATGGTACTACTAATAAAATGGGTAATAAAACATTACAAAAAAAGCTTCCTTTGAATATATTTCCTGTGTTTAGAACATAATGAAGATATTACCTCTCTTCTATAACAGGATAATTTTTTTTAATGCATAATATGTGGATTTGTTCAGTAGACTTAACAGCGAAAAATATCCACACAGTGATTTCATAGCAATCTCAGTATATGACATGCAATATGGCAATTAGAAAAAAAAGGAATCCAAAATATGTAGGGCATTCTGTTTACAAAACCAAAAATGTTTGGTTTGTATCTTCGAAATGCAAGACAATTATTTTTTTATATACTTCTTCGAAATCGCAAGAAAATTTCTTAAAGCATTGATTTTTACCAATCCTTAAACACATAATGGTATGTGAATAATCCTGTATTGTTCCATAGTGTTTTGGTGCATAGATTAAAGTCCCTCTCTTATGATCTTCCAGTTTTTAATTTTTACATATGACTTTTGGCCAAAATCTATTTTGTCCCTTTAAAATTTTAATATCACCATTAACCCACACGATAGATGTCGAAATGCTAAGTCTCATGATTAAACTACTCATAAATAAGGTATCACCAACATCTTATTGCATGATTCACGCACCATCTATGAACTAGAATACTTAGAGGACAACGCTATAAAGTAATGTACACCGCAAGTATAAATACGACCAGATAAATAAATTTCTAGCTTAAAAATTCTTCTGAAAGAAATAAGTGTCTTGAAACGCCAAGAAGTCTATTTGGACGTCATGGCAACTAACCTCTAAATAAAGTTGCTATATATAGCATATTAATAGCTAACATAACTACTAAAGACATTTATGCATATTTTGCTACTAGAATTTAAAACGCTCTCTTTGGAAGAGTTGCACATATAGGCATAGCAAAGCTACAATTTTTAGTGGGTGTTGTTTTTGGTAAGAAAAAAGTCTCACCTGGAAGATGTCATCAATAAATCTGGCAAACATTGATCCAGCTCTTTGAGGTTTGAATGGAGTGTTTTCTACTGCAGGTGTTGCTGATGGGGTTGCTTCAGCTCCCGTGGTTATTCCGGATATTTCCACAGTCGACACCGAGGAGTTAGCAGGTACAGAAACAGCTTCCACTTGTTTATTGTTAACAATGTTGGCGTTGTCTTCGACTGTGTTTACAGCGATATCATTCACAGTGGCCTAAAATAAGGTCGAAACAAATTAGCTCTTTGCCGAGCATGGTCAGTGTGAAGTGAATGGTTGGCAAATTTTATCAAGCGAATTTTTTTGGAAAATGTGTCAATTACCGTATTCCAATAATAAGGTATCGTTTCCAGGTACTTCCCAAACTTTCTATATCTTTTGTATTGTTCTCGGGTGATTGATGCAGAATTCTTAAATTTTTGCCCTCCCTAAAACCATTTTTCAAGTTAGTGCATCGTTGAAGCAGATCACATTTATCTTTGGTTTTAGTGTTATCAGTTTCCAAAAATTTAGTCAAGATTCAGACATTCTGATCTACGTAATAAACAATATATTTAGAAAGGTTCTAGAGACAAGTACTGCGTTGTTAAAGCGATCTAGTTACAAGATGACAAAGCATATATAGCGATGGTATGGAAAGGAATTTACCAGTTGTATCAACTCTACAGAAAAGTGTTAATAGTTGGAAAATAAAATTACACTAATTGATTAATACCAATTCTTGTAAAATTGTCCGTTAAAGTCAAATTTTGTCCAAAATAGAATCTGAAATTTCGAAAGTACCATTTTTGCATTGCATGCGTATTTACATTAAAGCTGAAATTCTTTCATCAATCACCCAGTTTCTTTAATATAGAAATGTATGCTTAACTGTGACATTCATAATATAACCTTGGTTTAATAGAATGTCATTGAGCAACAATACAAGTAAAGCAGTTTTACGAAAGGTATCCTATAGTATGTACAGATAATATGATATGAAGAATATCTAGATGATTCATGTTACATGTTTTACTTACTAAGATGCTAAAAGTATATCTAGACTGAAATTATACCTAATTACACAACAAAAAAAGGTTATTAACACATCTTGTAGCTAAATTGTTAGTTGTTAAGAGGAAGAACTATAATAGCTACTTAAATAATAGGAATAGTATTAAAAGTCTCCAGAGTACGGAAGAAATAGAAGAGAATTTGTCAATTTTTTTACAAAAAGAAACAGGTTTGGAAATAACTAGAGTAGGTATGTACAAATTATTAGGAAAATATCTTTAAAACTTCGGCAGTTGCAAAGAATTAATATTTCATAATTGTTTTAATAGCTATTAATAACATTTGAGTGTAAGTGGGTTATAACCTACAAAGTATATCATATTTTAATATCTATCTATAGTATACAGGATGGTCCCGAGATAATGGGTTGAAATTCATGAAGATACATTCTCGAAAAATAATGCGATTTAGCCGAATTTACCGTAGTCGAAAAGTTGATGGTTAAGAAGATACAGGGTATTAAATATAAAATATTATTTTAGTTTATTTTAATTTATTTTTTAATAAATACATATATCCACACAGAATTTTCTAAATTGGGGTAGAGGAAATTTGTTCACATTTTGGTTATAGTTCAAAGAGGGCGTTAGCTGCCGTAGATTGAATGTGTCGAAAACGACATAACGTTTTTGTTTTTTAAGGTAACTCATCTTTGGTATCAAATTTTTATTTTCCAACTTTTTTTTTACACAAAAATGATATACTTTATGAAAGTAGCTGTCTCACACCGTTTCTGAGATATTTAGCTTGAAACTTCCAACGCTAATAGTTGAAATAATTAAAATGATTTAGAAATGTTAAAAATAAAAGTTTATTTAGAGTTTAAAATTGTAATTAACAGTAAAATAGTAAACATTAGTAAAAAAAATATGTCTTTTTGACAATAATTGCTCAAAATGTCTACCTCTTACTTCAATACATTTATCAACGCGAAATGACTTTGAAACATTTAAAACCTGCTGCCAAAGTTCTTCCCAGGTGTTTATAGTTTCTTCATAAACAACTGATTTCATGTAACCCCAAAAACGAAAGTCTCGACATTCCATCTCACATTTATGTACATATAATTTAAATTGTAAGCCAAGATGTAATTTTAATTAGGTACGAATAATACTTAATGGAAAGTAGCAACAAATGACAGTAATAAGACAAGTGGAAAACGTCAATTATTTCCTACTTAAGAAACTTTACCGCTAAATTAATAATACCGGTAGGTACTTAATTGTAATTTAATGCAACAGCATTGGAAGTTTCAAATCCAAATATCTTGAAAATGGTGCGAGATAACTATTTTCATAAAGTACACCTTTTTTGTGAAAAAAAGTTGGAAAATAAGAATTTGATAACAAAGATGAGACACCTTAAAATATAAAAAAGTTATGTCATTTTTAACACACTCAATCTACTGCAGTTTGCAAACTTTAACCAAAATGTGGACAGATTTCAATTTCTCTACCCAAAGAACTCCAAATCCCAAAATTTTGATTAAATGAAAAAAAAACTAAAATAATATTTAAATTTAACACCCTGTATCTCTTTAACTATCAACTTTTGGAATAAGGTAAGTTCGACTAAATCGCAATATTTTGGCCATGAATTTTGGCCTATTACCTCGGGACACCCTGTATATTACGGGTTCAGTTTAATGCCGGACGGGGCTCTAATCCGTAGAGTAGTTGTTTCCTACAATATCATCAGTTAAAAGGTGGCAACGTGTTATTTAAGAAATGAACCTCTTTTAAAGAAAATGGAGAGATAAATTATTTTATAACAACTTAGATCTTAAAATTAGGGTTACATCTAGATCCATCCGTATTTAGTATGTCGATCAGTCTAGATCAAATGAATAAATATTAATGAAAGGTAATTGCTGTTCACTCAAGGTGTTAAATGTTTAACTAATAGAAAACAAAAAAAAGGACTGTCGCTGCAAAATAATTTTGACATTACTACAACACCAAATTTTGCGTTTATGGAATACTTTTCAGTCGTTAACAAGTTAATAGCTGATCCGTATCCTACAAGTTGCATTGGATTTACTCAATAGGTGCATATACTTAATAGATATTGGCACTGCACTCTTGATAACCTACTTTCTACCTTCCAGTATCTAGTTCACTGGAAGTTTGGTAACAGATAAAGTTAAGTAAAATCGTCCATAGTTAATTTAATATCTAGGTCTCTGTTAGTCAATGATTGGAACTGATATTGAATATAACACCGAAGATAATTTGGTACATATATATTGAGATATATATCTATACTAATGCCAATTTTGAATGAAACTTCAGCAACAAAAGTCTTTATTTTCATAATATTCTTAAAGAAGAAACTAACTTAGTCAAATGTTTATAACAAATAGCAATATAGATTTATTATGATGTGTAACCAATATACCGCCTGGTTTAAAGAAAGTTTTCAGACTGGATTTGTTTGAAAACTTCAATTTTTCAGAAAAGCTGAAACAGTTGAATTTTAGTTGTTAGTGCCACTTTGTTTTCAGTTCAATTTAATTCAAGGTAATAACACATATATGTAAGAACTTAAATTTTCAACGGGATTTAATTTTTCAACATGAGTTAACAGATGCTGGAAAAATGTGCTTTAAAATTTTGCTTTGAATGAAGAATAAAACCTACCTTAGTGTTTCTTAAGCAATTCCGCATATAGTGTTAGGGAACTTATATAAATAAAAAAATAGGAGTATTTTTCGCAGCAAAATTTAACCCGTTTCCAGATTCCTGTACAAAATTAATATTTCTTGTAATAATCTGGAGGGGAAACTTTTTCCTGGACCACCTGGTATATTACTGTGTATCAAATACTTTTAGATAAAATTTGTAATTAATTCCTTCAGTATTTTTAATAATAGAACGACAAAGTTCTCACTTCAATTGTTATGCATACAGTAAGTATTAAGTAACGTTCCAATTATTAAGTACTATAAGAAATTTATATGTACTTCAGGATTAATTTTTAATATTTCCGAAAAACGAATTCTTTGATTTCTATCTACTAAAACTTTTTGTCTTGCATTGTTTTTCTATACAAAAACATTAAATTAAATGTTATTCAATCAGTATTGAAAGTATTGGAATAGAAGTGACAGGGGAACCATTTTCCTAACAGATAGGAACGCATTCAGATTTACAGACAAACATTTGAGCAGTACCTTAGTAGTTTAAAGAAATGTTATATATAAGACTCTTATACACATGCAAATAAAAGCAATATGAAGCGAAAAATGTACATAATAAAATTTGGTACACAAATTTAACTCAGAAGAATGACGAGTATATACAAAATTATTGGATAATTGCTAAAAACATGCATATAAAGTTAATATAATGTACAATAAACAATGCATCTCCAAGCTGCTAAAGTGACTCAGATATTACATAATTTTTAAATCTACAGAAATCATCTTACGTTGCTTGTAGATAGTTCGAAAATTGAATTGACTACTTAGAATGTTAAATTTTATAATTATTGCAATATTTTTCTTTAAGTCGCATTTTAATTAGCACATGGGATTATATATTTTGCCATCGTTAAGGGCTATATTTTGCTTTTAAAACATTGTGAGTCAATTCGGTCATGTAGGAAATGATATCACACAATTCAATTCGTGTATACTCTATATTATTAATCTGTTCTTCATTTCACAGCAAATCAACAGAAATTAATTATAGTAACTTTTTTGTGTGTTGTGTGTAATTTACAAAAAAGTCCCACAGAAATAGAATCTATTATTGATTGTATGGATAATTATTTTATCATGGGTTACAAAATTAGAAAACGCTTCAAGAGAAACGAACTGTAATACATATCTACTACTTCAATTAAACAGTTTTAATTCGACAAATTAATTTATTTGTATATTTTCATTACCATCTAACATTGTAATACATCATTGTAATACAAAAATTATACATTGAAAACGGAAATCTAAAATGTTACACAATAATAAAAAAAAATGATTCAGAAGAAACAAGGAAAAGTACAGTAGGTTTTAAATGAACATTATAGAAAAATTTATAATTTTCCTAATGTTTTACGAAAAATATATTTTCTGAATATCGTCAGTAATAAATTATGAACCATTTTCATTTAAAACAGGTTTGCCTTAAGGAAACAACTACACGGGTGTGACTATGTAGTAGTGTACACTAAAACTTAACTGGTTTAGGCGCATTTTAATTTTGCATTATGTTCTTAAGAATAAATACAAACGCATTCAATTCTTCAAATTTGTAATATAGCATTGAAGTTATTTTCTCATTGATCATCGAATCTATACAGCAAATAAGTAGGTTATAGGTACAGGTTGAAAGTTAGGAAAGAAGTTATTAAAGAAAAACTCACCTTATCTAACTGTTCGTTGCTTGCAGGGGCGGCGGTAATAGAAGAAATTGCTAGACAGCAAAACAATATTACAATATTTGCCATTTCTGGAAATAAACAAAAGGGATGTTAATATGAGTATTTAACAGTATATACATTTCAAAATTTGAAGGATAAACTCAACTACGTTTCGATTTTGTTTTATCAAATAATTAGGGTAAAATTAGAAACTGTTATCATAGAGTAAAACAATTAACAAAATTTTAATGTTCTCAAAACTGAACAGTATTCGAAATGTTAGTTTCTAATCTATTGTGAAATCTACTTTCTCCATGTGGGATATTTCAAGTTAAAGAAGAATCCCTTGACTGATTTTTTTTAACTTCAAGGAGTTACATATTTATTCAAAATCCATAAATAAAATTAATTTTCCATTTTATCCATGTTTTCTTGTATGGTATCAGTAAAAGAAACCATATTTCTTCTAAATCTTAATCAAGTTGTCAATAATAGCTTTAACGATTAAAGAAAACACTCCCACATTTATGTTTCGTGGATTTACATTAAGTACAGTCGATTAAAATGTTATGTAATTTTTTTCCAATTTTAACTAAACGATCATCCGTATTTTAACATACAGGGTGGGAATGTACCGATGGTCCATCTGCCGTTACGTGAGAGCGATAAAGTAAGTCATAGAAATCATGAAAAAAAAAATCATGAAATTACTGTTCCAAACAAAATTACTGCTCACGTGGCATGTAATTATTTATGAAGACTCCGTACATACTTATAAATTTTTATATGGATTTTTGGTGGGAAGCTAAAGGTAGGTACACTATGGACTGTAGAAGTTCCTAGTAGTTTAATGGACTCATATTTTTCAGCCTCTTTGATATATCAAAATATCTAAGCATTGCTATTTTATAGAAAAGAAAATAAGGCAAATTTTACATTTTGTTATGAAATAAAGAAAATTTTCCTATTTCGTTGATCTGTTATATTTGTATATACAAATTATTGTAACAAAACCGTCCTGTTTGACGATAATTTAATTCGTGGCTTTCCAACTTTTGTAACATTACATTCCTTGAATGAAAATTGACTACCAAAAATATTTATAAACAAAAATCGTGCAGCCTAAATTGTGATTTTTTAAATTTTCAATGTTTAAAACACTGTAATAATTTATATTTTGAAAAGTAATTTAGGAGGTAGTTTTGAATTTGTCTTTCATAGTTTCCAGTGGTATTATTTTGAACAATGTTTTGTAATTGTGATCTACAGAATGTCGAAAAATACTGTGCCTTGTGATTTATATACTTGAATTTTGCACAAATATGCACTGATTTTATAGCAATGTTTGATTTTACCTTTTCTACAGTCAGTAAATTAAAACATATTGTTGCAATAAGAAAAAATATAATTAAAAGTGGCAAATATACACTAAGTTTCATTAAAAACAAGCACAACTTTGGTTTATATTTCGCAAACGCAATATGGAAGATTTTTTTCTGTATTTCTTTGGAATCACAAGAAAATTTGCTAAAACTTTCATATTACTATTTTTTCTAAATTGAAAAGTAGAGACGGTAAATGGGGTAAAATGTTGTTTAACATTACTCTGTACATACGTGCAGGTTATACAAATTGGAAAAAATGTAGATATTCAGTTTCACTTATATGATTGAAATGTCAATTTTCATAAACTCGTTTTTGGTTAGAAGTAAATACTTTGTTTATATAACATCGACGAAATGTTGAATAAATTCTTCATTGGAAAGTTTTGCACTGCAAATTGAGGTAATCTAATAATAATTAGCCAATAAATACGGCATTTTATTGGATTACGTAGATACGCAATTTTAGGACATTGGAATATCCATGTTGAAAAATCAAAAATTGCAAATTATTTGTGGAAAATTATAATAACTATTACCACAACAATTGAAAAAGAAACTTTTAGTTTCAATAGATACACATTTTTGTGCTTCACATGTGGGTAGGCAATAAAAATTCTTCATTTTATGAGGTCGCCTTCAACAATAAAGCCTATTATGTCATTTTATGAAACTGATTGTAGAGACACTTCTAATAAAATATAAACTGTAGGTACTGAGAATTTCTATTAGTAATTATAAACAAACGCCTATCAGTTACGTCTAAAATTCTGCAAAAATATTTCTTTGTTTCAAATAGTTCCTATCTACCAAATTATTCTAAATACACTGTAAATAAATCGGTCTGAGTTTAACCAAGAAGGTCCTGATTGAATCCATTGAGTGAAATTATTGAGTTCAATCAATATTGCGCATTTTGACAATTATACACATTTTTGATAATATTTGAAATAAAAGTGATAGTTTCACTAATAAAATTTTGGTTGTACTCATACTAATAGAGGAAAATTTCACTCAATCGGGTGTGAACATAAATTGATACTTTATTGAGTGGAACTGAGTGAAAATAAGTCCAATCTATCTTACAGTGTATGTGATATATTTTGCATATTTTTGGAGGAAGTTAAAGGTTACTGTAATTCGAGGTTTCATATTTTTGTAAGAATAGTATCAGACATAACATTTTTCACCAGTGAACTATTTTGACTTTTCTGGGTATTCTGCCTTATCGACAGCTATTATCTCAACTTTTACTCGAAAGTCATGCACAATTAATGTTTAACTACCATTTTACTGCATTTTCGTTTTAAATTATGTACCAACGAATTGTAACCACTAGAAGGAGCTTTGGATGTATTTGTTTGCGAATGTACATAAATAAATCAGATCTTCAGGAGACACAAATTTCTATTGGTTGAATTAATATTCCCGCCTACGTCCGCATTTCGATGATTGTCGATGACAGCTGTCAAAGGAAAAGTGTGTAGCCGCTATTAACGTATTTGAGTTTATTTGTGTTTAGTATGTCATTTTCGTCTTATTGTTGTATAGTTTTTACATATGGACATTTATTTAGTGCTAAAATATGGTTAGAAAGTGTGTTATTTGTAAAGTTTTATTTAAAAAGGGCGGACAGCGGTCTTTTGACAGGTAAGTAAACAAGCAACATGGGCGTCGTTTGAGGAATTACATAAGGGTGTTTTACATTTAGTACTTAATTACAGTGATAAAATACTGACTAAATTACCTACTACTACCCATTACCTAAATTATTAAAATGATATATTTTTTAATTGTTCAACTTATTTTTTCCTTTTTCAGTAATATTATAAGTATATTATGGGTAATACCAGTATTTTTTAGATTTCCTAAGAATCTGGAACAAAGAAACTTGTGGAAGCTCTCCTTAGATGATGTCAATATTACCGACAACATGTTTGTTTGTTCTGATCATTTTGCGATTATTGATTTTCTGACAATGCCATCAGGTATAAAGTACTTGCGAGAGACAGCTATTCCAGTAATAGCTTCTACTTATAGCAGGTAAAATAACTTTTATATTGAATAAAATATACAAGTAAAAAGCCTTTACGGTTACCTAGTACCCCTTTACCTTTTTATTTAATTTAGATCAGACAGTTCTAATAAGGAAAATATCCCTATAAATAATGTTCCTAGGAAACAGTCATTGCACGTGCCGCAACAAAAACCAGAAAATATATCCACATATTCATCGACATCGACACTGAGTGCTCAATCAGTGTTATCTACTACAAATAAGGCTACAAATCTTTCTGAAATATATTTGAAATTTGGTGACACTGCACAAAAACATTCATCTGCATCAGAAATAGGAATGGGATTCACCCAATCGTAATAAAATTATAAACGTGAAGTAAGTTATAAAAATATAATTAACAAATTATATATCCTTTGTATGGTATCTACAACTAATACGCTATCTGCTTACCTATCTAACATTTTTTTTATTCAGTACATTTTAAAAAATATCAAGAAAATCCTACCTTATTTTCTATTTATATATTACCATTTTATTTTATATAAACACTATCGTAAGAGTATATATAAAATACATCTGGAATAGAATATTTATCATTTTTAGGAAAAGGCCTTATCCACAATATTTTGGAGAATGTCATACTTCTAACATGGATAGTCCAAAAAGAGCAAGGGAGGGAGTATTTGTAAGAAAAGAATAAAAATGCAAACAATAAAGTTCCGAAATCTGCAGCAAGCAATGGTCGTCTAAAAGCCAGAATTTGTAGTCTTAATTCTCCTCTGAAAATTTTGAAAAAGAAATATGACTCAATGTATCGTATCATTCATGTAAGTTGAAAAATACTTATTCTTTCTGTGTCTATAAACGATATGTATTTTTAGGAATCAGCACCTGGAATATTAGGTGAAATCTGTCAAAGATCAAGAAAATTACAATCTCGTAAAAAGTATTCACCTGAGTTTAGGTTGTTTGCCTTAACGTTAAGCTTTTAATCAACAGATGCTTATAATTATGAAAGAAGATGGCTTTGCCGCATACAAAAACAATTTCTAAGTGGTACAGATCTATAGATGGAACACCTGGATTTACAAATGAAGCATTGGCTGCTATTAAAATGAAAGTAAGAGAAACAAACAGTTAAATTTTGGGCAATTTGGTATTTGACGAAATGTCTATAATGCAACCTGTTGAATGGAATTGGAAACGATTCATTGGATATGTCGATGTCGGTACTGAAGCTACGGAAGCCCTTGTTTTTATGGTTATAGCTATAAATAGTCATTGGAAAATACCTGTTGGGTACTTCTTGACAAACGGTTTGTGGTGGAGAAAAAGCTAATTTGTTAAAAAAATGTTTAGAATTTTTAAGTGAATCAGGTATCAAAATAGTTTCTGTTACTTTTTATGGTGCTCCTTCAAATATCAAATTACGGCCTTACCATAAATGTTAATGTTAATATTAATAAGTAGGTAGATTGTAAATATGTAGCATTTTAGGTTATTTGTTGACTTATTACTGTTTCAAATTGGTTTTCTAATAAAAACTAGAAAAATAAACCAAACATTTGTCTTTTTATGACTTCTATAAGTCACTAGTGGGTTATAAGTCATAACTGACTAGTGACTTATAGACCATGTTATTCCTTTAAAACCAAAGAAATTATAGTATCATTATATACAAGTGTTG